TTTTTTTCTTCTCAGAGATTAGCCATAATTTTAGGTTTCTGCAAATCACCCTCCTCAGTCACTAGTAATTAAATCATTAATGGCAGTATGATAAACAGTAGGCTATTCTGATCATAGGGAGAAAAAAAAAAACGTCCGTTACATAATTAAGTGTGAGAGAAAATAACCTATCATTAGCCTTAAGTTTGGCTCATTATTTTTATCTTTTGCCACCATCTTTTCTCCATCACATTCACATTCTTCCCTGCGGTGGTATGTACTTATGGCTACAGACCTCTGATAAGCCCTGACACAAGCAGAATGTTCAGGACAGGAGCACTGGTAAGGGTGAAGTATTTACTTTGATACACAGGCAAATACTTCAAGCGTAAATGATCTCCGTTTCTCTCTTGGGTCTCTATTCAAAGATACAGATACATGAGTGTGTGTGCATGTGTGTGTGTGTGTGTGTGTGTGATGTCTAATGAGTTATACAATAGGAGGGCAATAAGAAAACCATCTTTAATTTTTATATAAATATTGAATGCCACAAATCAGTAGCCTTCTCATGCCAGGATGACGGGTAAAGAAAGGTGAAAAGGAACTGTATCTGTGAATGACATAAAATCTTGGGTAAAATAAAAATCACTGAGCAGATAACCAACCAGTAGCTATCAAATTGACTCCGACTCATGGTGACCCCATGTGTTTCAGAGTAGAACTGTGTTCTGTAGGGTGTTCAGTGGCTGATTTTTCAGAGGTGGACTGCCAGACCTTTCTTCCAAGGCACCTCTGGGTGGACTCAATCTACCAGCCTTTTGGTTAGCTGCCACATACATTAACTGTTTGAACTACTGAGTAGATAGCCCTTTCCTAATAATGTCTACATTTTACAACCTCTGGTTAAAAAAAAAAAAAACATTGCCATTGAGCTGATTCTGACTCATGGCAACCCCATGTGTTACAGAGTAGAACTGAGCTCTATAAGGTTTTCTTGGCTGTGATCTTTATGGAAGCAGACTGCCAGAACTTTCCTTCACGGTACTGCTGGGAGATTAGAACTGCCAATCTTTACCTTAGCAGTCAAGTGCAAACCGTTTGTGCCACCCACGTCTACATTTTACAGCCTCAGGTAGGCACCATCTATTGGCTGTCTATCCAACACCTCCTTCCCTGCTAACACAACACGAAGGGATTCATGACAGCACCTGATCTCAGGGTAGCCAGGCCTCTGCCCCAGCCTCAGATGATAAATTGGTCTAGACCAATCATGGTCATCTCATTCTCCTTGGCCAGTGACTGGTCTGGGAGGCCAGGTGCCTAGCTCCGGCCATGAGACATTAGTGGAAGTCTTCTCAGCAGTGTTGCTAATGTTTCTGGCATAAAGAGACTTTGCTGGTACAGTCCTTTGCCTCTTTGCCCTTCCACTTCCTTCCTTCCCTGATCACAAAGAAGCAGCAACAATGATGCTATCATAAGGCAATATGCTACCATATTACTGAACGTGGAGTGGAAAGAAAGGAGCCAGAGAGATTGATAACATCCAAGACTGGGCCACCTACATCTAGGTTTCATATGTGCGGGGGGGAAGAAAGTGCTAATTTGTTAAGCCACAGCATTAGGGTTTTCCTGTTATTTGCAGCCATCTGCACTCATACCCAATACACAACCCCAATTTATTTTCAAATCGGAAAAAAAAAAAAAAAGGTCAAGTTGATGATTTTATGGTTATTAAGATGCCTCAAGTAATTACTTTCTGCTTTGACTATATCCACTAACACCACTGTTTCAACTACAATTAAGAGCTTAAATTTAGTTCAGTATTGCTGCCCACTCCTGACCTAGTTTCTTTAACTTAGTATAATCAGTTAATGGCTGAAACTGAATGACAGATAGGGAAATGTTTGAGGATATTTCCTTTTACAAGCATTCTTACCCAAAAGCACCTAGAAAGTTTTTTCACAAGTGAAATCATTCTGGTTAAGTGTAGTAAACCCTGGAAGAAAGAACCTTGGCTCCACCGCTGTTTGTTAACAGAGGTTGTTGTTGTTGTTAGGTGTTGTCGAGTCGATCCTGACTCATAGGGACCCCACGTTCAGGTAGAACTTCCCCATAGGGTTTCTTACGCTGTAATCTTTATGGAAGCAGATCGCCAGGTCTTTCTTACACAGACCCACTGGCTGGGTTTGAACCCCTAAGCTTTCTGTTGGCAGCCAAGCGCTTAACGGTTATATCACCAGGGCTCCTGTTAACAGGAGGAGGGGGTCATAATCAAGTCTGCTCTCTCAGGTTCTCTAACACAGGTAGGGCTTTCTCTGGAGGGGTCACCACAGAATCAACTGTTTTCAGCATTGGACGGATTTACCCACAACAAGCAATGTTCATTCGCCTGGAAAATGTTCTTTTTGCTGCTATGCAAATGAACACTCTGAAAAGGTTTGAACCAAAATATTGCATCAGAAGCTCAGTGCAGATGTGGCCAAACTTGCTTTGCATAAGATTGCTATGGCTAATTTACAATTAACATACAAAAGATTCATTCCACCCAATATTTTTTACAACCACCTGACAGAAGGCTACTAAATCCATGATTCTGATTGCTCAATATGGTCCATAGGGTTGATTTATTCAATGAATTGATTAATTGTCTGACAATCAGCACTGAATATTAGAGAAAGAATATCTCAGGAAATAAAAAGCTTGATATGGTTAACTAAAAATAACAGGCTGTCCCAGAGAAACAAGTCTTTCAGAAGTGGGAAGTGAGTTATGCAAAGGGAAAGGCAAATATGCGGGACAGAGTCAGTGCAAAACAGAAATTAGATGGGACTAAAACCAAAAACAAAACAAAGAAAAGAAAAATATCTGATACTGATCCCCAAATTGGAGCCACTTAACCTGAGAAACTGACATCTCTCTCTGTGGAGAATTCTAAGCATCGCAGGCCTCCCAGGACTGTTATCTAGACCAATCTTACTTAACATTCTTATAAATTATCTGGCAAGGGTATGATACAGCGGAGCCTGCAGGTCTGCCGATGACCCTCAGCTCTCGAGGAGAGTGAAATGCCAAACTGAAGGAGATAAACTGCAGAAGCTCTCAAAGTGCCGTGCAAGAGGGCAGAAAACTACAGCTCAGATTCATCACTAGCAAGGTTAAAATAATTCAAACTGCTATTAGAAGATGATGGGCCCTCAGCTATCAGCTACAAGTCAGAAATTAGGAGAGTCACTGAGGATGATGTCCCACAGAGAATGAGCTAATAGTTTTCTGCAGCCCCCACCTAAAAAAAATTCATCACAAAGGGTGCTAGAAGCAAAAATGAAACATAACCCCAGTCAATCACAGGCCATCCTCATCTGGAATGCTGTGTACACCTATGGCTATGACACCCCAATAAAGACACATAAAAGCTGGAAGAGGTCCAAAGAGGGAAAATTAGAATGATGAAGGGGGTGTCAAAAGGCTTCTCCATGAAGAGAAACTCATAAAATCACCCTTCTTATCTAAAAAATGAAGCCTAGTGGGAAGTGAGGAGCCCTGGTGGCGCAGTGGTTAAGAGTCTGGCTGCTAACCAAAAGGTCGACAGTTTGAATCCACCAGCTGTTACTTGGAAACCCTATGGGGCAGTTCTAGTCTGTCCTACAGGGTCACTATAAGTCGGAAGCAACTCGACAGCACTGGGTAGTGGGAAGTGGGTATAAACCGGGCTCTAGACTCAGCTGAACCTCAGCTTAAAACTTGTCCCCACCTCTGACCAGCCAGGTGGTCTTGGGCAAGCTACTCAACCTCTCTGGGCTTTGCTTTCACCATGTCTGAACTGAGGTTCACAGAACCTGTGGTATAGGCTTGCTGTGGAAAGGCATACAATACTGCATGTGGGGTGTTTGGCAGACAAAGCAGGAGAAGAAGGACATCATGGTGGCCCAGGCTTTTGTTTCAAACCCTGAGTCTGTGACTCACCAGCTGTGTGTGACTTGATCAATAGAATGTGAGTCTGCTTCTTAAAGCTTCAAGATGTAGTACTCTACAAAGTAGGCAAACACTACACCAAATTCACTTGGTAACATAGCCTGAAAACAAAACTACCTTCAAACAAACAAAAAAGGCTTAGGCAAATATACGGATGACATTTTGGGATATAATGGATTATAAAACAAAACTAAGATACTTGAAGGTTTGTCCTTAGCTTTTAAGATTGTTGTTGTTGGTTGCCATTGAGTCGATTTTGACTCACAGTGAGCCCATGTGACAGAGCAGAACTACCCCATAGAGTTTTCTTGGCTAAATCTTTATGAGAGCAGATCCAGGAGCCACCAAGTGGGTTAGAACTGCCAACTTTTTGGTTAGCAGCTGAGCGCTTAATCATTGCACCACCAGGGCTCCTTTGTGTTTAAGATTATGGGCATGGAAAAGAACTGTGGACTATGTTAAATATGGGGCACTAATACATGGGCCACTATCAGAGACATAATACAGATTTGACTGCAAAGCACGTCTAACTCAGTAAAACAAGTTCTCAATTTTTGTATCTCTTTTAGCTCCATGATTGATGCAGCTTCCAATACACATTTTAAATAACCATCTAATCACGCAGACAATACAACAGAAATAAGAACTTCAAATTGAAGTTCACGTGCATGTGCTCCATATAAAATCATTGCTAATACTGAGAAAAAACAAAGAAGTTATTACTTAATAACACACCTACCCCTTACTTATCGGCCATCTTATTCTCTTGACGTTTCACGTTTATGACAACAAAAATATCTACTATCTGACTCTTTTGTACACGAAGGAGGCAGTGGGCTTGGTGGCAATGGCTGCGAAGTGTCCCCTCCCTTGAGGAGGGTCTCCAGGCGGCCTCCAGGAAGCTGGGCCCCGCTATTCCACATCCTCCTCTGCCTCTTGTCAGCAGTGTCCAGCTGCCACATGGGGCCGGCCTCCTCTGTGGCCACAGCCTCCACGCAGATGCAAAGGCCTCACAGAGCCAGCAGGGCCTTTTCTGGGTTCCCAGCTCCTGTGCAGCCTGAGGCCCTGCAGCTCAAAATTGTTATGGAGTGGGAAGGGAGGAAAGAAAGAGGCATCGGAGAGGGTGTTTGAGAAAAATGCGTGCGAATTTAATGACATCCCAAAGTGAGCGGAACTAGGCCTGAAGCCTCTGCCTCGGTGGGCCTGGGTGCACAGCCAGGCTTGCAGACTCCTCCTAGGAATCCCAGAGCCTCAGTGACTATCCAGACCAGGAGTACAGAGCAAGCTCCTGGGTAGTGAACACAGGGTTTGCAGAGGTGGGAGTGGAGCCCTGGAGGTAGCTCCAAGTGGGAAGCTCTGACCCAGCACAGGAGGAAGGTGAAGTGGTTGAGCCTTGGGCCCTCCAGTCACAAAGCCCGGCTTTATCCAGCTTTGTCTCCTCCAAGCCTCCTTCTCTACAGAGTAAGAATCCGTAACTGGACTCGTCAGAGTGATGAGCACATCAGCAAATCTTAGCTGTTATTATTTCCATGATCATATTTTCTAAATTAAAAAAACCGGACAAATGGATGATCAGAAAACAGAAAAAAAAAAATCTTCTATTTTTGCCTAACACTGATTTTTACAGAACAACCTGGACTTTGGAACCTAACCATGTCGATAAGTAAGGAGTGGGTGTACTATTTAACCAAACTTCTAAAAAACTTAAAATTTTATTCATCCAATAAGCAAAGACTTTCCAGGAAGGATAAATTAAAATTTGTTTTAAAAATGATTTTACTTATACTCTATATTCAAACTCCTCATTTCATTTTTTAGAAACAAAAAGAGTAATTTTTCAGACTATATAAAATATAGTTTTATATATAAATATAATAAAATACAATCTAAAATAAAAATTAAACCAGTATCTTAACACATTTAGAATTCTATTTGGAAACAAAAAGTAAACATGTACACAGATATAAACTTAGGTCATGATCTAAATATTAAGTAGTACAAACATTCTGTCATGTAACATTATTTTATAATAAATAGAAATTACTGTCATGTGTTTGATTTCACCCACATGGGAGTGAAATAACATGGCATTTACTTTTTAAAAATGGTAAAGCCCATCACCTCTCACCATAGGGTTGATTTGAGAGTCACTGATAAATGGTCTTATCTAAGATAACTCCAACAAAATCACCTACTAACTACAGTTATCACTTTAGTCCAAATGGTTTAGATAATACAATTTGGCTTGGCCACAATTACACTTCAATAAAAACATACAAAGCTGAAAGAGGTACTATCTCTAGAGATATGGAACTTAATGCTTTAAATGATAACATTAGTATTACTAATATTAGTATACTAAATTAAAAAAAAAAAAGCTAAGCTAAACTTTGCATGGAAATCTACAGCAAGAGACAAAATAATAGAGTAGATAAGAGAAAGGGTTCTCTGGCCAGACCATTTGGAGTTCAAGTCCCATTCCACTGCTTAAATCTGTGCAAGTTACTTAACTTCTCCGAGCCTCCATTTCCTCATTTCCAAAATAGGAAAAATAACAGAACCTACCCTACAAGTTGCAGTGCCTGGCACACAATACTCAATAAATCTTAACTGCCACTAATATTATTATTGTTGTTGTTTCATTATTATTATTACAGTTTACAAAGAACTTACACGTACATCAGCTTATGACTGTTAAGTAATAGTACAAAGAGACAATTCAAAATTTAATTACATCTCATATCAAGTATATGGGAAGAGGTACGATTCCCACCATCTTTTGGTTCTTTCTGATACACCAGAAGACAACAGTGTCATATATAAAATTCGACTGGAGGGATGCAAAAGTAATTTACAGATGTAGTAGTTAATAAGAAAATCTATTGAGTAATCATTATGTTCCAGACAGTTTACTATGCATTTCAGATGTGTTACCATTATTTAGCCTTACTATTATAAATGTTAGACTTGAGGAACTGAGCCCCGAGCGGTCACATAACTTGCTCAAGGTTACTGTTAAGTCCAACTCAGGCAGATGGACTCTAGGGGACTTGCGAGCACGCTACACTACTTCCTAGGATTGACTTCTTTTGAAAAAAAACATTTATAAAATATCCTAACCACTCTGCTCATTACCAACCAACCACTATTATCTTGTCTCTCTAAATGAAGGTACAGACACTACTCACTTTACATGATCCTTCTTTCCTCTGTACCAGAGGATCATCTAAATTCTCACCTCCTACTGAGCAATACTTTTCTTTGTGCTTCTAGACTTCTACTGTACGTATTTACTCTGTATGTGTGTATATATACACGTTAAAAAAAAAAAAAGGGTTGCCACTGAGTCGATTCCGACTCATAGCTACCCTATAGGACAAAGTAGAACTACCCCACAGGGTTTCCAAGGAGCGGCTGGTGGATTCAAACTGCCACCTTTTGGTTAGGAGCCACCAAGGCTCCTATATATATACATATGTATGTCAAATATATATATACATATGTGTGTATGTGTGTGTTAAATAATTCCATAATTCTCTGATTCCCTTGAAACATAAACAAATCCCAGTTATTGGGGGAAAAGAATCACAACAAAAATGTTCCTTTTACTAATGTCATCATCATCTAGATTAGGGTTCTTAACATGTAGTTCAGGAATCTATGACTCCTTTAGTTGTAAACAAATGTTACATGCTTACAGGTATATGCACTTTCCCAGTTAGGAGAACTACTGCATTCATCAGATTCTTCAAAACGTTCCCCAAAAAGTTAAAAATCACTAATTTTGACAAAGATCATCCCCAAACAAATTACAACATTATACAAATTTTAAAATCCTTAGGGTTCTCACATGAGATGTACTCTGAAATTCAATGTTTTATGACTGTGAAGAGTGACAGTGAAATCCATAATGGAGAGGATTCAGAATTGGGAATGAGGAGATTGCTCCCACAGAAATTTTCTGTATGGGTGACCCTGGGGAAATCATTCAAAATTTCTGGACTTAGTTCTATGATCTGGAAGATAACTGCTTTAATAGATGATTTCAAGGATTTTCTCCCCAGCTCTGTGATTCTATGACATAATAGTGCCACCCGCACAATGCAAAACAAGACAAAAATGACTTAAACCACTTACATCACTAATGAGTTCTGTGCATTTTCTGGCCAATTCCATGCTTAGGTCTTCAATAACAGGCTTACAGAATACCTGTTCGAAAAAAGGAAAGGGAACATTTTTCTCATCATCTACTTAGAGGAACAAATACCGTTCTACAGAAGGTACATCCTCACTCACCTTATCTTCTTCATTTTCTTCTTCCCCCGTTTTTTCCTCTTCGGTTTCATTTTTCAAATCCTCAAATACAGGGACCCTCATTGTTATCCTTTAAAAAAACAAATTTTTTTTTTTTTTTTTAGATTCACTAGTGTAGCGCCTTTTTAAGTGTTCCAGTGCCTTTGAGATCTTGGTGTCTCTGGCGCTCTGGTATAAATGACCTTGCCCAGGCCTCAGCCCTATTTAGCTCACACTTAACTCTCCTTATCACAACTGTGTGTGATTGAATGGAATGGATAGCAGATGCCTTGGCAGTGCTAGCCTCAGAAATGGTAAAAATATCTTAACAGACAAAATTCAATTTTAAGAACTGATCTTAAAACTAGCTAAGAAATCCAAAAGAGAAAATTTTTTAAATTGTATTAATTCAGCTCATTCATAAAATAGTTTGAAAAGGACTTAAAGATTACGGGAAAACTGCTCAGCTATATAACACTCAAGATATCACATTTGAAAGCCTATTATCTCAAAGACTCTGCAGCACCTTCATCTAAATAAAGCTTTCACTGGAATGTTGGCCATATCTCTCATGTGGTATGCTGAATCTAGATTGCTCAAACTCATTTTATTAACGTATATTTTTTATGTGACTCGCGCCTACTTCTCACATTCAGAAAATACCCACTTTATATTAGCTGATTAGAGACTAGTAATTTATTATGAAAAGCCCTCTGAACCACATCAGAGAAGCTATCCTGAGTTAATTATGACTTAATCTTATATTGGGGAATACTGCATTGTTTTCACTGTAAACATCATTAAAAATGAGAAGGTGCAGTAAATGTATGTTTCTATATCATTTGAGAATTCTAGAAATATCCCTGTTTCAAAAAATAATAATCACTCTTTCAATTCTGCTCATTGTGTCAGTTTTTACAAATTCACTAGTTATGTGTATATTCCTCATTGTGTACCACACTTGAAAAAGCCTGGAAATGTAAACTATTACAACATTTATAATATGGTATACATCATTGATTATACAATTAAAAATCAATTTCTCAAAATAAACCTTTTAATGTCAATTCCAAGACTCTATACAACCGACAATTTATCCATTTGATTATTTAAATCCTAAGGGTAAATTAGTCTTTACAAAGCCACAGCACATCAGTATTGGACATTAAAAACATCCTATGGTGAAAAATGAAACCAATTACATAAAATACAACTTTACTGAAAACAGTACATCATCCTAAGTACCAAGCACAATGTTGTTTTCTCTTGACATCACATCTAGTTTTGAATTTATTAAAAACAAAACAAAACAAAATCTGCTTTGGCTTTACCTAAACTGAAAAATCTGGCGAGAAATTCCACACAGTCATCATGTATAAGATTATTTCTCAAACTGTGTTCCATTGAACCTGGGGAGAAAAAAAGGGAGTTTCTTATACTAGTTTGGGAAAACCTATATACTGTATCTTACAGCTGCCAGTTAGAGATCCACATCGTATATTGACACATTAGAAGCTCTGAGAAGAACTACAGCCAAGAAACCTACTTAGGTTTGATTAATCCAGCATTTTTCAAAAGCGTAATCCTTTTATGTATGTATCTTAATGATACCGGCTACCTCAGAAAACTAACATTGTTCTGTGAAATATAATTTAGGGAAATATTGCTCTATTATGACAAAATGGTGCATACTAGAAGAGTTGTTGGTCTTCTCATGAAACATCTTTGATACAGACTCAATTAATGGTATCACATACACTGCTTACCAGCAAAATGCCAAAAAAAAAAAAAGAAGAAGAAGAAAATTGCCGTAAGGGTATGAACCTGGGCACCTTAACTTTAATATGCCAAACGTGTCAATCCTGCCAAGTGTAATGGGTTCTATAAGGAAAGTCTCTGTATGTTAACATTTGCTCCAAAAAGAAGCAGAACGTGTGGACTCTGCAGGACTCTGGGGTCTGAGTCTGTGGGCTCTTTCCCGCAAGTCCCCTTGACTGTTCTAATATTCTATAGAAGATCTATGCCGTGATCTTCTCCTGGGAACAGGGAAGAGTAATTTCTATAAGCTTTTCTTGCAAATCTCCAAAAGCATAGGGAGAAAATCTTGCCAAAGCTGCCTAAGACACACCTCTTGGCCATTGTTTGAGGTGTCAATACTTGTGTTGCTCATGGTGACATCTATTCCCCATAGTGAATTACCTTCATCAGGCTTCAAAAGCAGCTATTTTCTGATTTCCCATCATGTAACAAGTTCTTACGACTCTCCGCTGAGCTGGAAGAAAATAATCTTTTCAGATTTAATGCAGAAAAGTTTTTGAAAGCAAAACAAAGCACCAACATGCAACGTTAACATAATTTAAAATTAGAGATTTTAGAATCAGAATTTTAAAGCCAAAGGGGTTCTTAAGAAAACATTCTACCTAAAGCTCTCTCCTCTTTACAGAGCAGAAAACTAAAGCTAAGAGAAATTAACTATTTGTCTCATTCACAACATTATTCAATGGAGTACCAGGACCAGAACTTAATTAGAGCCCTGTAACGGATTGAACTGTGTCTCTCTAAAAGATATGTTGAAGTCCTAACCCCCAGTACATGTGAATGTGACCTTGTTTGGAAATAGGGTCTTGAAGGTGTGTTATTAGTTAAGGTGAGGTTGGAGTAGGGTGCATCCTATTCCAATATGAGTGGTGTCGTTACAAAAGAGACACAGACACATACAGAGAGAAGACTGCTTTGTGACTATGACGGCAGATACTGGATTGTGCTGCAGCTGCAAGCCAAGGAAGACCTGGGGCTACCAGAAGCTGGGAGAGATGAGGATGTTTCCCTAGAGCATTTGGAGGGAACAGTGCTCCTCCAACATCCTGAATTCAGCCTTCTAGCCCCCAGAACTGTGAGACAATAAACACCTGCATTTTAAGCCACCCAATTTGTTATATGTGGTACTTTGTTAGTGGTACTTTGTTAAGGCAGCTCTAGGAAACTAATACGAGCACTCATTCATTCAACAAATAAGTGTTGTTCAGCCAGGTACTGTGACTGGTGCTAGGGATGCAATGGCTTAAAATATAATTTCCACTAAAATAAGGTAGGAAATAAAAAGCCTATCATTCAAGACTTGCTGAGTGAACACCTTAATGGATTGTTTGGCAAGCTAGATACACCATTACTTTTGATTGAATGCATCCTTCTTCCTTTCACCTGCAAGTATAACATACAATTCATGTATTTTCTAAAAAATTTCAAGCCCTGCACTTCATCACAGCAAAGCTCTCTTGTCAATAGCTCCAAAATCTGACTTGAAGAATAAGAAGAAAGAAAGAATTCTTCATGGATAACTATCACTTTTCAAAATTCCCTAACATCCTTTTTTTTTGGTAACCTAGTTCGTTGTTGTGATTTTATATATACATATTTTTACCTTGGAACACCCCAAAAGGGAATATCTGTGTAGTTCCTAATCCCTTTATTTATTGAGGATTTCATTTATGTTGTCTACTTTTTACTTTAGTACTCTATCCATGACATAGCATGAGACCAAGATGGGTATCACATTACATATGACTAGACCTCTAACTTCCAGGGCTAGTTCTACCACATCCTCTGCTGCAAATTATTTAATCCCTCTCTGTCTCCAATTCTCCATAATTAAACAGAAAATCTGAATAGCTGTCAGTTAATGAAAGGAAAGCATTTTAAAAATAATAAAAGCTCTTAGAAACAAAAGATTCTTCAACTGTCCAATAATTGTACACAGTTACAGGAAAAGCACTTGATAATGAAAGTGTCTTCTCATATGAACAGGTGGGACGATACGCCATCAATATCTTTTTAAAGGTAAGAAGGGCCTCCTACAACTTGAGGGCCTAAAGATAAACGTTAAGGTGTGTATTTATAATACAGAAGTCTTCAACCTTTTTATACTTAGATGTTTATTGTAAGCAAACATATTTCCATAGCAACTGCCCACATCACATGGGTAATGCATGTTTCTAGAGACATCACACCTGACCAAGGAAACACATCTGTACCACCATCTTAAGTCATGTAGTGCTTGACTCTCTTCAGTGTTCTTAAGTTTACAGGCTGTAAGAATCTCTTGGTTGTTGACAGATTTCATATTTAATTTCACTTTTTCTCCTTTCTTTTCTTCATATTGACAGAATACATGCTTTTCCCCACCATGGTGATAAGTGATTTGGAAAGGAAAATCCCTAACAAACTACTGAAACCAAGATTTGCCTTGAGCATTATGTTCTTTTAAGAACTACCTATATGGGATCAAACTGACAACAGCAACTGAAAAGACGAGATAGGAACCTTAGGGGGCAGTGAGTTTATGTTAATGGGAGAGGGACAACTTAGAAAAGGAGGGTGAGAATGAATGGTTGCACAACTCGAAGAATGTAATCAATGTTATTGAATTGTACATGTAGAAATTGTTGAATTGGTGTATATTCTCAAAAACACCAAAAAAAAGCAAATTTAAAAAGAAATAGATCAAGATTCAATTCTGAGTTGAGAAAAACTTTTAGGGATAAAACTGATTTTTTTTTCCATTAAAAAAAATGAATTCAATATTTCTTACTACAAAATTAAAAAAACCCGTTGCCACTGAGTGGATTCCAACTCATAGGGACCCTATAGGACAGAGTAGAACTGCCCCATAGGGTTTCCAAGCAATGGCTGGTGGATTCAAACTGCCAACTTTTGGTTAGCAGCTGAACTCTTTAGCTACTGCACCACCAGGGCTCCTATTACACCCTAAATGGCTTGGTTGAGAGAGGAATTAGTTCATCTGACCTATTTTCGTGCCCTGACAGCCTTTCCACATACTCAGTTTTAGCTGCCCTTCTTTTTTATGACTACTTCCCAGAAGTAGAATAACTTTTTTTTTTTTTTTTAACCTTTGGCTTATATGTTTTCCACATCATTTGGCATCTGCCCAAAGGAGAACTTTACAAGAGACTAAGGTGGGGGATAGTTTCTTAAGAAATGTAAGCATCATAGAGCTATTTATCTTCTTTTTTAAAAGAGAAGAGCTCTACTTAGTAGCCCAATCTATTTTACAATTCACATTCATTAAGCATATTTTCTCCTTTTTAAGGGCTATTTCATCACTATTTGTTAACTGAAAATCAAGGGACCACAAAGTAACCTGAATAACTCTCCAATTATGCTATTATCAATTATGCTATTAAAATAAGATTTAATACTGTTTTTCAGTCTTTATATTCCTGTTTTTGCCAAATATAGACCCTACTCACAAATGAGAGCTATATATCTCTATAGATTGATATTAAAGGAGGAGAAAAACAAGAAACTGCAAATATTTTTTCACATAACAATTTTCAGGTTGGGATGTGTGGGATACCAAAATTAAGAATATGTAGTATTCTTTTAAATAAATTAAGAGAAAAAGAAAAAACAGTATTCTTATTCAGTGTCTACATTAGCATAAACGGTCAGTGAACTAGAAAACGTTCGTTTAATTTGCAACTTACTTGACATATTAGCTCAGTTTTAACAACACTGAAGCTAATACCATAATCACTCTAGCAATCCTCACCACTAAAAGAAACCCAAGGTTTGAGTGGCTAGCACAAGGCTTTTAATAAGAGCCAAAGGGTCAGGCAGGATTAAACAGCTTGCCTATCACAAAAAGCATCCCTTTTCTAGAGTTTTGTGGTAGGTGGATCAGGGAAGACTGTGAAAGATTTCAACATTGTCCAAAAAAGATTACTGGGTGTTCTGTCTAGTTATTTCCTTCTGGGTTACATCTGCCTTTTATTGCCTTTTAACTACTTTATAAATTATTGAAAACTGATAACAATGCAAATGATTCTTATCCATAGAAATGCAAATTAACTGTGTCCTGGGGAATACAAATGATTACTGCCCTGCAGATAAATTTCTTTTGCACCTATCTGTAAATTCATTTCAGCATTCCTTAATACTCATTTATGTGGGGTTCTTTAAATTTACCCTTGATCCAATTGTAACAACGTGCTGGTGCCCTCATTAATGAATTAAATAAAATCTTTGAAATGTGTTAATTTTATGTTTATATGAGTCAAGATTTTCACATTAAAGAAAAATCCTTCAACAGATACGAATGATTTAATTATCACTTCTTTCCTTTAGCATTCAGTAAAAATAGAAAGAAGGCATAGTGAAGAAAGCCCTATTCTCTCACTTGTGAAGTACAGCTGTAAAAATTTTTGGTGTTTATTAAAATTAGCTTTTTTTTTTCAGTTCTGATCTCAGACTACTGGCAAATCTCATACGTGTGCTTGTATATACGTACATTCACACAAAACACACACATACACACAACCACATATGTATGCACTCAAGCAGAGTTAATTCACCACAGCTGCCAGTTACCTCTTGAAAAGCATGCAAGGCTTCAGTAAATGCAAAGACTTAATTACTTCTCACATCTGGAAGAACTCGAATATGAGAGTGGATTTATTGAAGAAGCTCATCACTTGGCTGTCAACACTGTATCAAGAGCCAGAAAGAGAGCAGGCTTGATGATTCTTGGCAATTCCTTGACCCATTCAGAGATAGCTGTTCTACCAATTAATTCATAACATGTCCTGCTTAAACGACTTATGAATTTTATGAAAACAGAGTAAAGCAAATAATTTCCTAGTAATTTATGGAGAAAAGCTCCTTTTGTCACATGTCCAGAAATAAATATCACATATTAAAATGTTGAAATAATGAAGAAGACTTTATATTCAAGGAGAAAAGGCTTTTGGGGTTGTTAGAGCATACTGAAAACAGCCATTACAGCAATAACTTGAGTGAACACATGCAAAACTAGAGGATTTGGCACTGTTTTGAGAAAGTGTAACATGTTTTTAAAAGGGAAGTAAGGGAGTTACGTGAGGTCATAGTAAGGAGATTTAGCAGAGACCAAGGAATAGGCTGATCTCCCCCAGGAGATGAAACTTAAACTGGAATTAGGCAGTGATGGGGTGTAGGGAAGGCATCCAAAGCACACTTGTGAAGAGTGAGATTGGAACCTTGGAGGAATCAAAAGTTCAATGTCAGTGAAGCATACAACAGGAGAGGGATGAGGGAACAAGGGGAGCATCCAGAGGTCTGAGACCTCAGAGGAGAGCTTGATGAAGTAAATGTATGGAAATCAATTATCCTAGAACAAAAAGCTTAAGTCAGTTTCAATCATGAAGCCTTTACAAACAGCACAGTTCCCGGTCAACTGTGGAAACAGCTGCTTTACACCTATTCCATTCCTTTTAC